AACTTATATCTTTCTGCCTCTTCGTGTCTTCATATAGTCTGACGTGATCCCTACACATTATTTGTAATTGAGTTCGTTATCTGAATTCTTTAATTAAAATTGTTCATAATCTCGTCTTTCAAGTCTTCATACTTGATAGATTTTGATTAAGTCCAACGCGTAAATTTGGTAAAGTTAAGAGTTAGGCGGATCCTAACGTCTTAACCACAGTAAACCGCAGTTAGAAATTTCAAGTAGAAACTTGATAACGTGACTACCTCAAGTTGAAGAATTCTATGATGACAATACTTAATTCTAATTCAACTTATTTTAGGCACAATATCGAAAGCTTTATTTATAAATCAGATTAAAACTTTTGATAAATTTAATAATACCATATTGAACCCTCTGAAATTGATATTAAAAGTGTACGGTGTGTGACAGCATAAGACATCAACTTTTTATTTAAGTGGCTAAATTTTATTTTATATCACATGACTATAATAAATCACATGTTTTTACATTTAAGCCAATCATAATTAAGTATTTAACTACACAAATGATCAATATCTGAAAAAATTGAATTAAGTATCGATCTATGCGACTTAAATTTTTTTACTGCATATTCAGCTTGTTTAGCATTTAAACCTTTTCTATAACAATCCATATATTGTGTAGATTTTCTAGCATATTTTCTAATATGGCTAATAGGAACTGAATCTAATGCAAGCAGAACAACTCTTTGTAATCCAGTCTAACTATAATTACATTGCTAATGAGCATACCTTTTCGCTGCTTCTCAATACATTTTAATATAATTAAGTTCACAATAGAATTTTAGATAAAAAATAACCTTATGACCCTTTGCTTCAATAATTTCTTGAATTAAAGGTTTGATGTTAAGAAAATCAGGTTGATTTGAAAGAACATATCTTGCATAATATTGAGAATTAATATTATATTTATTATTATCACAATATGCTTTTAACCCTGTTGATGACCACAAACCTCTCTCTTTTAAAATAATTCTCATTCCTTTAGGTTTTCCATATAAACTTTTGTTATGATAATTATCTGGAAAATTCATATGTTAAATCTGCCCATTAAAAATTGTGTTACATAATTTAACCTGTTTTCTATTTGGATTCAAGTTCATATAGTTTGCGTTTAATGCATCATCGGTAAATTTACCATGACTTAAAGAATTATCAAAAGCAAATACGGCAATTGCATCTGAATGAGTTTTTTCAAAAATAGGTATAGTCTGATTTTCTATCTAAATAATTATTAATATTAATATCAATTAATTATTTATAATATTATATTTTTTTTTATTTATATATTACCTGTTCAATCAATTTATTTACATTCCACCATCTATCAAAATTTTTACCCGGATTGATCATTACACATGCTTCATGATGCATGAAATCTCCAACCTCTCTTACTTGATCATCATTTAATTTTAATCTTCCAATGGTATCTATCAAAAAATCACTAACATGAATTGATCGCCTTTGACCTTTTTTACGTAAAGGTTGTTCTCCATTTAGCATCAATCCAGATTTCAGACCATCATTTGATTGGAATGTAATTTCATTATGAGTAACAAGTATATGTAACTTCTTATCACTATTTAAAATTGGATCAATTCGTTGCTCAAGATCATTACCCTCAAATGTTAGCATTAGATTTTGATATCTGAAATAAAATTATAATATTATATAAATTAAATTAATTAAGTTAAATTTTATTTAATCTATTATTTTTAGTAAACTTACGTGCTAATTTTTTCAAGGAATTTTTTTCGATATTCAACTACGTCTGGTTTTTCATGTTCATTTACATACATCCCTTTTTGATATCTGTCATAAATGAACCCATTTTTTTTAACTATTTATTTGCTATTTGAGTGCTTAAAGTTAAAGTTATAATTAATAATTATTAAACATTATTTAAAAATATAAAGGTGAACATTTAATTTTTTTACCTTATTATTGATTTTATTTCAATTCCTATTGATGGAAATATTTCTGATGATATATTTACAAAAATTTTAAATTGTTACATTATATTTTGTTTTTCGTAAATATGATGAGACTTTAAGCTGAACATCTTCATCTTCAAGCAAGCTTCTTTCTGGATATTTACCACAGCCAATTTGTGGAATATTATTATATAACGTAAATGATTTAACCTAAGTTCGAACACATTTCGTAAACTATTTCCCACAATTTAGTTATTATGCAACAATTCTTGCAGATTTTAATTTATGACGACCAGATTTTTGTAATTTAAAAAAGTATTGAATTGCTTTAAATTGAACTTTTTGGCCTGATGTTATTTCATTATTAACTTTAAGTTTATTTTCAATTTTTATGATATATTCATTTAATAATTGATTGGTTGACTCATCATCTCTTTCTTTATCATCACTTCTTTTTTCTCTTTCATTATCATCCTTTTCATCTCTTTCATCATTATTTTTCCCTTCAACATTAATTTTTTCTTTATTTGATATAAAAAATTTGTTTAACGTTTAACCATTAATCTTAATAGCTTCACATATAGACTTTTTCTTTCTTCTTTTAGTTCTAACAGAATTTTCATGATATGTAAGTGGACGCTTAGATGATTTTAAATTTTTCATATTATTAACTAAAATCTAAAATAAATGTTCTTTATTAAAATATTTATCTTCCTATTCAAATCCCATATCTAGTTCTTTATTATCAGAAGAATTATATTCTTCATTATCATTTATATTTTCAAAGGATTAAAAAAAAAATTAAAATTACTATATAAATATATTAAAAAAAAAAATTTTTTTTAGTTTATTATATATACCTTTTGTTATCTTACTTTTGCAGCTATTTTTCACAGGCGTAAAACCTTTTTTTTTACTCTCAGTATTTTTGATTACAAATCAGATTTATATATATTATGATATTATGATGATATTTATATAAATACACCATGTGTAATTCTAGCTGAAATATTATAATGTGAGCTAAAATTATACGGTCAAATGTGAACTAGATATAATAAAATTACATACAGTCATCCCCTTTATAGTTACCTTCCATATAGTCACTTCTCTCCTTTAGTCACACTAAGGCTCAATCCCGATTTTTTAAATAATAAAATACCCCTTTTTAGTCACTATATCATTATAAGCACAATCACACCAATTGTCAGTCCTGGTATCATAGTAAATATAAGAAAAATACCCTTTGTATAATTACAAATAAATCATGTGATTTAGTATTAATATGATACGCTATAGAGAAGTGATCCATAAATTATAATCTGCACAGATAACACAAATATCATTTTTATGTGTTACAAATTATGCAAATATCTGTGGATTATTTGATGAATATTCGTGAATACTTATATTAATAAATAATCCATTAGAGTAATAAAATTTTTTAAAAAATTCTTAAGTTCAAATGATGCAAAATCGATTATTTAATACAAAAAATGTAACGGCAAAATATATTTTTTTAAAAAAATCTTATTTTACTCCCTCTCACCCGTCGAACACTTACTCTTTATATAGTTTTATGTCGCGTAAATTGATTTAGAATCACGTAAATAATAACATCGCGTTATTTGCAAAAAAATCTATTTATAGCATTGCGATACGATATTACGATACATTATTACATTACAATAACATTATGTTTTAATATTAAATATTATAATATATATATGTAATTACTGGGATCCTTTTCCTAATTAATGTAATTAAGTT